CTCTCTCTCTCTCTCTCTCTCTCTCTCTCTCTCTCTCTCTCTCTCTCGATATATATATATGTATATATATATAGATAGATGGATATTGATATAGATAGAGATAAGATTTCTGTGCCCAGAAACCCATAATGAGTATATTCCTTCATATACATGTGAGACAAACCAACACGTCATTCTGTGTGGTATCTAATAGTGTTTTCTGTTCAGAACACTGCCAACTACTCATTAGCCTCATTTCATAACCTACTAATGAATCTCACCCTGTAGCAGACCCTGTTGCTTTAGCTTAATTGCATCAAGCCATAGAGTAAGGTGTGAATTAGATCCACCCCACAGACAATCTGGAGAGGGGCTCAAGAATCCTTCCTTATCTAAGATCCTGCCAACAGCCCCTGGACTGAAGATCCTCAGCCCACGTGGAAAATGCTGGTCACTTGTCATGGAGCAGTTGTACCAGGAAGGTGCTTGTCAGTGGGGCTCATGTGCCACCTCTCCTTCAAAGGATAGATAGTCCTGTAGCTGCTGAATGAGCTGATGAATCCCTCTCCTCCGCCTGGCCAGTCCCCTGTAAGGGACATCTTTAAAGCCAGGGAAGCTGTGTAAGAGGCCAGGTGTGACATGGATTGGCTCAGGGAGCTGGCACGTTTGGAGCCAATCAGGGGCTGAGAGCGATGGACAGGATGAGAAGAGAAAGACGTGCCGCCGCTGCAGCCTGGCAGCCCTGATTGGCGATTGTCTCTGAAATCCAAAGCTCTAGGTTACAGAACCCTACTAAGCTTTATGCCGAGGACACTCTAATGGACACCAAGGCTCCTAAGTAACTTGCCCAGGCCTCACTTCATCAAAGTTAGGTCCTGTATTTGAACTTGAACTTTTAAAATATACATAACCTATATGTTCAGCCAGTCAGGGGTTCTCTGTGGACACTAGGCTTGAAATGCTCTCTGTGAAAGGCCACTGATGCTGTAAAGGACTTGACCTCACCTATGGTGTCTCCTGTTTCCTTCCTGCCACCGCTGGCCTTGTCCTCTTTGCTCCCTCCCAGTTGTCCCTTATGAGATCACCCTCTACACCAGTGATGTCTTTGCTGCCGGAACCGATGCCAACATCTTTATAGTCATCTACGGCTGTGACGCCGTGTGCACCCGGCAGAAGTTTCTGTGCACTAACAAGAGGGAGCAGAAGCTGTTCTTCGAGAGGAAGTCTGCCTCCCGCTTCATCGTGGAGGTACCTGGTTCTGTGCACTGCCCCAGAGGGGCTGGGTCAAGAGTAGCCCTTCATCTAGATGGGCCACAGCTAATGGAGGATGAAGAGCTTGTCCAGCCTCTCTAAGTCTCCATATGTCCGGTCAGACAAGTGGATGGTAAAGCTAGCTGAGCCTTCTAGGACAAACTTCAGGATTAAAACTGATGATCAGGACCCGGGGAAACAGGATATCTGCCTGTTTCTACCATGTCTGTGGCATGGCTTCCAGGCAGGCAACTGGGGTGCTGGGTAGTACAGTCTCTCACAGGGGATCACATGATGCTGTCTGCTGCTTGGCTTTTGAGCTGCAGTCAGCTGGACACAGAACTGCTGTGGGTTTCACAGGTTCTGCCAGGTCTGGCCAAGGGGTTCTGTCATCTGATGCTTACCAGGGATGTGGGTTTCAGCACCTAGGCATTCCCACATGCCTTTATGCAGAGCAGCTCATGATGCCTGCCCTGTCCTCTTCTGTGAGCTAGTTTAGGCAGGAGACACAACAGAAGAGCCCAGACGGCCTGCAAGGAGCTTGTACTACAGCTGGGGAGCCAAGCACTATGCTCATGGCAGACATCTAGGGATTATTGCCACCGCGGGGCCTGAGGGTCAGAGGCACTAACATGTGGGATTCAGCTATGTTCACTCACTGGACCCTTGTAACAGTTCTGTACTATCCTGACCCTGGTGAAGGAGGGGACTGAGGCACAGCAAAGTTAGTGGCTTTCCCCAAACTACACAGCTAGCATGCAGGGAACCAACCTAGGGGAACAGGCTCTGATGTGCATGCCCTTTTACTCTGTGGTAGGCTTCCAAGTGGACTGAGGTTGCTGTTGGTGTTCAGAGAAGGAAGAGCCCTAGAGGAGGTGGATTGGAGGCGGGTGTGAAAGTGGGCATTCTCAGGACAAGGAGAGGTGTTCCTGGGAGGTGAACAGCATACCCATTGGGTGGAAACAGGCAAACATAGAGCTTGAACTCACAGGGGAGCATGAAGGGACTTAGGAAGAGAGTAGCAATGAAACCAGCCTGGGAGAGGAGCCAGGAACCTTGGAAGCCTCGGCGCTCTGAGTAACGGGGACCAGCGGTGACATGTCCATATAGTCTGGTGGGAAACAAAGTGTTGAGCTTGTTCTTATTCTCAGCCAGCTGCTGCCCCAGAGATAAAGCTTCCTCCCCACCCTCTCTGGGAGGAGTCAGTTTTGCTGGAAGTTCTGTTGCAGAAAATTCAGGGCTGGTTCACTCCTCTATACAAGGCTAACGTCTCGCCACAAAAGATGATGTGGCGGGCGCATCAGAGTGTGACGTCATCAGTGCCCAGGTCACACCTCAGCAGGACTTCCACGGACTTTCATCAGTGAGGTCCCATTAGTAGGCAGCTATAATATGCCAGCTCATTTGCTGTTGGCTTTTCTTTCTCAACTGTTTGGGTCTTAGGGGGATGTGGGAGCTTGGAAACAAATAGAAAGGCTTTGTTCCTTGCCTGTCTTTCCTGCCTGCGTCTTCTGCCTCTCTACTCTCTCATGACGGATCCTCAGTCCACATCTCCCCTTCCAGCCCTCACTCTGGAGCAGCCCTTAGCCAACGGCTGCTTCTCTCCGTGGTCCACCCCGAGGGGCCGGCCGGGAGAAGAGGGCTGACAGGACGCCTGAGCTCCACGGAAACGTCAGCGCTGTTCTAAGCACTCAATATGGACCAAGTCCTTGAGTGTTCACGACAGTCCCAAGAGGGTGGCAGTGCAGCAATTCCATCTCACACCTAAGCACCCAGAGCAAGAAAGGTTGTGACTTACTAAAATGGCGTTACACAGTGAATTTAGGGACACAGCAGCTTCTGAGCCTTCTTGGATCGTGTCTCCACCCCTCCCAAGGAAGAATGCCAAAGCCCTTTCTGATAGCCATGTCTTCTGAGCCCGTCTAGGAGGCCACCACCCCTGGGCAGCAGTCCTCTGAAGGCCTCTTTACTATCTGTAGTGCCACAGCCAAGACAGTCCCCTGATGAAAGTGACTCAGTGCTTGCTGTAGAACTCAGGTTTCAGAAGTGCCATTGAAGTCCCTAACCTCAAAGCCTATGGGACAGGGAAGAAAAAAGAAACCCTGGGTAGACAAAGAGCCAGAGAACTCTCCATTTCTTGGTCACTTCAGGCAGTGAGTTTGTCAGTTGAGATGCTGGGGACCACACTCTTCCCTTTGACATCTGCACTGCTCTGGCAGATAATAAGATCTATTAAAAATCTCTGTGGCCACATCACTTGGAGGCCCCGATCTTTGTTTAGTGACTCTGAGTCCTCTGGGTTTGCAAGGCCCCGAAGGACCATTGGTGGCCATGGATTCTGTTCTCTGATTCAGAGCAGGTGGCAGTAGTGGGACATCCTGGAAGGGCAGCGAGGTCATGGCAACTGTGGCATCCTTGTCAGTCTATGGAGTAGCATGTTGCTTGGCCAGGCACTTAGAACTAGAGGTCAGCTGACAAAAAAGCATGCTGTAGTCTTTGACCTAGTTATGACATCAATGGGCTACCCCAGCCATGACCCGACTTTGGCTGATGAAGACACCATTTTCTGTAAGTTTGAATGAGTACAATTTGTAGGAGTAGAGAAAAGGAATTACTGAAAGGAAGGGGCTCTTACTAGTCGGTAGATTTGAACAAGGTCTATCAAGATAGGAGCACGGGCTGTACTAGATCTCTTCTGAGATCCAACTCAATTCTCAGAGAATGTGCTACTATAAATCAAGTCATGGAGGATGGGGAAGGTAACGGCTTCTGTGAGGAGTCAGACACGCCTGAAAGATCAGAGTGCCCAAATCAGGGCCAATTAAGTCAAGACTGAAGGAAGGAAAGATGGCATGTGCGAGGAGGGTCTTGGCCCGGCTGGTCAGTAGAGACATATGAAGAGCAAATCACCCTCTTAAGTTCAGAGGGATCTGAAGATGGATGCCCCCAAGGAGGCGTAATATGATTGAAGAAGCCCTTCTATTAACACGTACTGCCTTTTTTTTTTCTTTATGAAGTTAGAAGATGTGGGTGAAATCATTGAAAAAATCCGGATTGGCCATGATAACACAGGCATAAACCCTGGGTGGCACTGTTCCCATGTGGACATCCGCAGGCTCCTCCCCGATAAAGACGTAAGTTTGAGATGTGTCTGGCCTACTTCATTTACCTTTTTCCAGAATGAGTTCACTGCAGATTGGCCTGGCTTCAGCCTCCAGGACATGTTAACTAGCTCAGATCCAAGGCAGATTCTTCCAGTGGTCAAAGAAAAGAGTTTTAGGCAATCTAGTCTGGTCTATGTCTATGCCTGAGTCCCAAAGCCACAGAGTGACCAGCATGTCCTTACTTCTATTTAGGGTCAACTCCAGAGAAAAATCAAATGGAACAACTTGGAAAACACTTTAAAAAAATGCAAACTTCCCCAGCTAAAAGACAGCGCAGTGCTGGTAACAAGATGATTTAAAAGCACAGAGTCGTCTCCACCCACGAACCCCAAGTGTCAGGGACAGGGCTCAGATATTTATTTTTAAGTGATCTAAGAAGTATAACCTTCAAAAGCTAGTTCGTCCTGCTGTGGTTGGGCAAACCTGTAAGGCTAGGTCTCCTGAAACCGGGGCAGGAAGTGTCCCTCTGTTTTCGTACAGGGAGGCAACGTCTTCTTTGTCTTTGGTTCTGATAAGCCTGAGCATGCTGGCAAATCCCGGGAGCTGGTGGTTCCCACCTTACAGACTACAGGCTCATCTTCCTCCTTCTTCCTCACCCCAGGGTACAGAGACCTTGACTTTCCCATGTGATCGATGGCTTGCCACCTCTGAGGATGACAAGAAGACCATTCGAGAACTGGTCCCTTACGACATCTTCACTGAGAAGTACATGAAAGACGGATCCTTAAGACAGGTCTACAAGGAAGTGGAGGAGCCTCTAGACAGTAAGTGTGCACGGGAAAGGTGGCCTTTGTCACACAGCTCCAGGTTCACATCCCTCCTTGGAGAGCACCAGCCCCTGCCAGGTTGAGCATCCTCACACACAAGGATGGTCTATGTTATCCCTGGGCAACTGAGGCTCATAAAGACTATGTAACTTGCCAAGTTCACACAGCTGGTAGATGGCAGGCCAGTCCCCAGAGTCTTGCCTGCTTCACTGCAAGCTTTGTGCTCAAATCCCTTCCTACTTCTACAGCATGGTACATGCCAACAGACCACCTCTGCTCCTGGCTTTCTGTATGTTCAGTTTATGTGGCCAACAGTTGGTGTGGTGTGATTCCGTCTACTCTTACAGGACAGTCTAGGGCTGGAGTATAGCTCAGTGGGAGAGTATGTGTCTAATGTGGGAGCCTCTGCTTTGAAACTCTGTACTGTAAAAGAAGATTTTTTTTTAAAGACAGAAAAACAAGGTAGAAATCTCCCAGCAAGGCACGTTTCTGGGGGTTAGGTCAGCTTCTGGATCTGTGTAAGGTCATGGGGTTTTATTTCCTGTGTGAACTCATCACGATCATCCACGGCTGTTATTTCTAGGCAGTATTTGAATCATCCTGACCACCCACTTCTTGCGTTTCTTCCTGCCTTTGGTCTCAGTGACATCACCGTATTCCGGTTATCTTCCTATCTCCCAAAATAGTCTGCTTAGTTCTAGGTCCTTTCTTGTACCCACTGGCATTCAAGGCTCACTCCTTGGCCTTCTCTCCTCACTGCGCTGTTGCACAGGCATGTGCATGCACACATGTGTGTCCTTCCTTTACCACACGGTAGCACCATCCGTGTCACTCCCTATGCTGCTCAGCTCTGAGTAAATTTTAACTGTTCAATAATCAGCGTCATTTGTAAGTCTCTACCACTGATGATACACACATGACACCCACCGTCCTCTCCAACTGGGTGGTCTACCCAGACTAGAGAAGCTCTAAGAACTTGGAAAACCAACCCAAATTTATGGTATTCTAGCTTTGGAAAAGCTGGAGTAAAACCCAGGATTCCAGGGAAACCTAAGATTCTCACAGGAAGCCGGTGGAGGCAGGGCTCAGATCTTCCTGCTGCTGAGGGTCAAAAGACAAGAGGCAAAACATATATTTCCGTTTTATGTAAAACAGTGACAGCCCCTGCTTTCCTTTAATCTGAGTCATCTTGTCCAAGGGTGGATCTCTCTCCATCCATATCCCTTTCTCTGAATATCCTTTGCTGTTCAGTCTGGGAGATGTGTCTTTTTTCTGCTTAGACCCCCAGATGGACACCCTGGGCTGCCGTTCCCAGCAACAGTCTTGAGATGTTCTCTATAAACCATACTCCATAGAACCCACTCTGAGGTTTCTAAGGAAACACCTCTTCCCTGACAAGCTGTGTGGCCTGGGTGGGACGAGAGGGAGGAGGATCCAGAAATAGCTGGATCCCGCATATCCATATTGCTCAGCATCAGAGGCTGAATTGGTTTCCTTAATTCCCAAAGGACCAGAGAAAGCAGCAGGAGGTGGATTGGGGTGATTAGAAGACCATTCAGTCACAGCCCCAAGGACACGGCATCCAAGTCCAGGACAAGGGCTCCTAGAAAAGGCGTCCTTACAGGTCCACCCACCCATGATAATTTCAGATATGGAGCAGGCTTGAATGTAGTCAGAAAGAAGGGGGCGGTGGGGGAGAGGACAGTCATCAACTGTTGCGTCTCAGCTGTGACAAGATTCCTAATGTTGTCTCAAGTTGGTGTTGGCCCGACAGACTTGGGTAATGCTGTCTCTTTTAAGCAACAAAGAGACAATTTCATCATCAGCTGTGGAGGCCCACGGCATGCTTGCTGGTTCTACACTAAGCTGAGCAGGGTGGAGCCTGAGCAAATGGTCCCGAACTTTTGCCTGTATACGGGGACATGACTCTGTCCATCAAGTCTCATGAAGCAACAAGGGGCTTTGGAGAATGAGTGGCTGTGAAGAGGCAGGGGGAGGGGAGGGAGGGTTTGAAGAAGGAGATGGGTACCAGAGGGATCAAGTTCCACTCAGATGCATGAGTTTGTGATGCCAGGGTCTAGTCTCAGTGGAAGTAGACCCTGGTGGCAGGAGTTGGAAATTTGAAGCATAGGGACCTGGGTTGAAGATAAAGGCACAGGAGGTCAAGGAATACAAATGTAGGCTGTGCAAATGAGAGAAGAGGGTTGAAGGTGCAGCTAAAGAATTTAGTGACTACGGGCTGTGTGGAAGATGAGGAACCCAAGAAAGCCAGAAGGCAGCATTGATGCTGTGGAATCCAGAGGAGAAGAAGGGCATACAAAGAACCATGGGTGGATGTGAACATGTCTGTAACTGTGGATGCAAGCTGCCCACAGCACACTGATTTGCCTCATTGAGTTAGAGGTGGCTGTGGACCACTTGCAAGAGTTGGAAAGAAAGCCTATCTCAGTCACTGTAGGAAAGACAACCATTCTCTAAGGTCTTGTAAGTCCCTGAGGTTCACAGGAACAGCCCGCAGACCAGGGTAGGTCTCGCACCGTTCTGGTTCTCCTGCCATGCACTACCATTGCACTCTGGGTCTGTGTCAACACTCAGTGTCATTTCTCTGGGTGACCAAAAACCAGGGCTTCAGGAACCCCTCATCCTCCAAGTTTCCAGCCATTGCTCTCAAAGCTTCCTCCCCATCCTGTTCTCTTAGGGACAGTCCAGCCAAGTCCTGGGATCCTTGGCCTGAAATTCCAAATTCCCCAGGGCAGAGGGCTACAGAGGGGAGAACAAGGCTCTCCAGGCATCTGTAGGAGCATATGCAGGGCTTGCTTGTCTACAGGTCTAGCGGCTAGGGATGCAGCTGTCGCTTTGTAACAGACATCTAATAGCTACCCTTGCTGAGCCTCGCAGCAGAGCAAAACCAAGACACTATACTCATTTCCATTCTCCTCAAGATCTTTGTATACTCATCACCCTGATCCTGAGCCCTTCCCCAAGCACCGCAGGGACAAAGGATAAGGCACCAGTCACTGTGGCTTTAGGGAAAGAGTTTGCCTGGGGTACTAGGGCAAGGTGAAGAGTACCAGTGAACTGAAGAATAAGTCAAAATAAGTAAGGAAGCGTGCACACTAGCGCGCATATGCACACACACGCACACGCACACACACACAATCCAGTGTGTCAACACTAATTCGTTGGATGGGAAGAAGTATCACAGAATAAAGACTTGGTGGTCATAGTGATAGCATACTTAAGACAGTCTCCTTGGATGCTGTGGGTGGAGGGACTGGGGGCCACTCAAAAAACTCCCATCTTTTGGCTCTCTGAGAGCCTCCTGAGTGCAAAGACCCCATACACTGTGCTGCTGACACTGCCTAGCCAAGCAGCAAAAGGAAGATGCTGCTGCTTTGGACCAGACCTTTGTCTACCGGCAAATTCTGCTGGCTAGGGCTAACCTGCTGTCACCCTTCTCGTCCCTCTGTCTGTCTGCCTGCCCAACTTGATGGGCAGTTGTGTTGTACTCGGTCCAGATCTTCACAGGGAACATTCCTGGGGCAGGGACCGATGCCAGGGTCTACATCACCATCTACGGAGATCTCGGGGACACCGGAGAACGGTACCTTGGCAAATCAGAAAACCGCATGAACAAGTTCGAGAGAGGAACGGTAGGAGAGATGCACTGGATTCATGCTACCTGTCTCCTCTCTGGGTCTAGTCATCTGGATGCCAGGTCTTCTGGTCCTCTGTGGGGTACCATGCCTCCTCCTTTGGGCTTTTGACATTGCTTTTCCTCTGTAAGAACAGAATGCTCCCCTTTTGCAGCCAGTGCACTTCTCTGGGTCCTACATGGGGTGGAGTGGAAGGCAATTCTGAGCTCTAGATTGTCCTCTATGTGGGGACAGCCTCTTCAGAGAGCCAGCTCACCAGGGGCGGTTTATGCATGTGGAGGTGGGGGCTGCAGGGTAGCAGGGGCTGGCCTGAGACCCGATGAGGGGCCTGGAAGCCTGGCTCTGCCTTCTGCTCCCTGTCTGTTTCACCTCTGCTGAACTTCGTTTCCCTGTGTCAACAATGAGACATCAAATATAAATTGGCTAAAGTGTGTTGTACAGAGCTGAGGCCCTCAGGAGTAATGCAAGAATACTGGGGCACAGAAGGGCTTCCTCCCTGTCACCCAGGTAGACTCACCTTGACCTGGCCTGTCTAGTGAGGGCCAAGCATACCAAGACTCTGGGACTATAAAAAGGCAGGAGAGTCATGTAGCTGATCAGTATCTGTGGCACTTCTAGCTCTGATGCACTGTGATGGACCAGAAGGACAAAATCCATCCAGTTGTCCCTTCTATGCCCCTCAGCTTCCCTCTCCTGTCCCTTCTGCATGCCCTGCCACACCCTTCCCTGGGCCACCAGTTCCTCTCCATCATCTCCATGTGCCTGAGTCTACCCCAAACCTCACAGGTCAGGGCATCTCCGAGGAGAAGAGACATGGAGCCAGTCTGGCTGCAGTCTTGCCCATGACCATGCATGGTAGGTGGCCCCTGCATGGCAGAAATCCTGACTCTCAGCCAGCCAGACCCCTTTGTACTGAAACACCTGCTACTGATGAGGAGGGAATTGGCCCTGGGACAAGTGGCAGGTATCCTGTAAATGGATCTGTAATGCCTGGTGACCCCATGTGCCAGGCTCATAGAAGAAGCCTTGGCCTGGCTGCTGGGTCCTCAGAGGGCAAATCCAGTCCTCTTGTTAGTCACCTGGATAAAACCGTCAGCCTTTAACTTCAAATTCTTGCTTCTGGCTTGTGAATAATAACATGATCCCCAATTAGACCTCTATACTGAGAAAGAGGAAATGTATGTCATTTTCTCCTGGGAAAGATACGCACACGCACACGCACACGCACGCGCACACGCACACGCACGCGCACACACACACACACATACACACACACAGCACAAGAGATGTAACGGTACTTAGGAGAGGGCCTATCTTCCTCTTTCCATTTTAGAAAAATAAAAGCCAACGAGGTCAAAGTGAATTCCTGTGGTGTCCCTGGCTCTATAACAGGGCCACATTTCACATTTGATCCAGTACCCAGACAATGGGCCCAAATCACCTGGACTTGGACATTGATTCTAACACTAATTGGTTATGTAATCTTGGACAAGTTACTTAGCACCTCTGTCTCATAACAGTTTCAAGTGACTGTGAGAGTCAGCTGAGTTACACCATGAAATACCCAGCTGTGCCCAGTTGGCTCACCATGGGCCTTGTTAAGGCCCGGGGAGCTCCCTTGCCCCCACTTGCCATGGATGCCTGCTGTTAATGTCTGGTAAACGCGTTGCTATAATAGCAGTGTGTCTCATGGGGCTGATGGATAGACTTTTGCTCATGCCAGAGCCTAGCAAAGAATGGGTGCTTGACAGATACATACAGAGAATAAACGGATGAAAATATAAATGAAAAGTGATGTGATCTGTTCTCTAAGTTCAGATTCCGCTCTCCACCCCACCCCCACCCCACTATAAACAGTCCGCCCATCACATTCTCTGGATTTCTGGCTTTGCTGTTTGGAGTTTTGCTCTTTTGTTTTGCTGGGGTCTTTTGAGACGGTCTCACTCTATTGCCCAGTTTGACTCAGAATTCACTGTTTGACCCACGCTGACCTGGACATCATGATAGTCCTCTTGCCTCTACCTCCCTAGTGCTGGAACTCCAGATAAGGGCCACCATGCCCAGTTCTGGTCTTGTCACCCCACAGGAAGAGCTGAAGTTGCATCTGGCCCAGTTCCTAGCCATGCAATCCTCAGTTCATTGCTGAGCATTTGAAAGTTTCCATTTCTTTAGCCACTCACTCTGGGAGCCAGGAGTTCTTGATGCTGTCTTCCTCTCAGCACCCTCCCCCTGCCCACAATAAACCCACTGCCTGATCTGAGAGTCTCCCCAGAAGCATCCCCAGATCAGCTAAGGCAGCTCTATAGCCAGCAGCCCTTCCTCATCTGTCTCTGCCTTGAATCTCCCCAGCAGTTGCCACCAGCTTGCTAGTCAACCATCCAATGGTAGAGCACTCACCACCTGCTAGCGGAGCACTCACCACCTGCTAGCGGAGCACTCACCACTTGCTAGCGGAGCACTCACCAGCTGCTAGCAGAGCACTCACCACCTGCTAGCGGAGCACTCACCACCTGCTAGCGGTGCACTCACCACCTGCTAGCGGAGCACTCGCCACCTACTAGTGGAGCACTCACCACCTGCTAGTAAAGCGCTCATTACCTGCTAAATGAGCACTCACTACTTGCTAGTGGAGTACTCACTATCTGCTAGCAGAGCTCCTACCACCTGTTAGTAGAGCAATCACTACCCGTGATTCCCCAGGGACATACAGACCACGGATATCACCAAATCTGCCATGGTTATCTGCAACTTTCAGGACTTGCCCTGCACAGTCTGCCTGGCAAGTCCCCAGCAGGCCACTTGAGCCCATTTTGAAGAGTAGCCACACTCTCTCCTCTGTGCCTTCCCATGTGTTTTCTCTGTATTCGTGCCCTTGTGTCACAGAAGCCCCATGTGGTGCTGCTGTGAGATGTGGCCTCTCCTTTGCCTCCGAGGCATAGTACTGGTTAGTACTTCTCATCTTACCCTTGGCATTTCAGTGGGATGCAGTGGAATTCTTTCTACACCAGGATATTCAAACAGAGATGGAGCTGGCTCTTCTTTGTAACCACACACATATCCACTCTAAGGAGAATGTTGTCCCACAGTTGCTCTGCTGTTTCCCAAGGGTGAAGCCCCAGATGGCTTCTAATTTCCCACTATAAGCGTTGTCCAGCTGCACACGCTCTGTGCACATGACAAGATCTTCCTTCCACACAGAGGCAGCAGAGTGGAGGGTGTGCTCAGTTTGACTCCAGTGAACTCAGTGGTTGCAGTTTCTGGCTAGCAGACATGGGCCAACGTCCCTCATCTGCATTGGCCAGAGCCTTCAAACATTTGCACAGTTTGTGAGACACTTTCTTCCAAACACTGACAGGCTCATCCCAAGAAAGATCTGGGCAAAGACAGTTTTCCCCGAGGAGGGGCACACAGGAGTGAACTACCTAACGGGGCCAGTGAGGAAGTGAACCATGAACTTGGACTTTAATTTGGTTCGAGAGGGGATCCCCATCTGGGAATGTCTGCTCAACCCAGTAATTTTGGAGGATAGGGTTGGAGGGGTTAAAGTGAGGTGTCAGCACCAAGTCCCCATGCTTGGACTTTCCAGGCCGACACCTTCATCATCGAGGCTGCTGATCTGGGTGTCATCTACAAGATCAAGCTCCGCCACGACAACACCAAGTGGTGTGCCGACTGGTACGTGGAGAAGGTGGAGATCTGGAACGACACCAACGAGGATGAGTTTCTGTTCCTGTGTGGACGCTGGCTCTCCCTGAAGAAGGAGGATGGGCGGCTGGAGAGGCTCTTTTATGAGAAGGTACCCTAAGGGGTCCTGGCACCCCCGTGCAACCACAGCCTCTTGTTGTTTTTCTGCCCAGGGAAGATCTTTGGAGCAGAAGGTGCCAGCGCTGCAGCAAGACCAAGCTGTGCTTTTCCTTGCAGGAGTACACTGGCGACCGCAGCAGCAACTGCAGCAGCCCTGCTGATTTCTGGGAGATCGCCCTGAGTTCCAAGATGGCAGATGTGGACATTGCCACGGTGACGGGACCCATGGCTGACTATGTTCAGGATGGCCCTGGTAAGCAGAGCAGGGAGCTCTTAGGAAGATGAGTAGGCACAGGGAAACAGCTTCAAACCATTCTCAGACAGGCTGTCGCTGAGGCCCCAATGTCACTGATGGAGTGTGGGTCTTGAGCTTTGCACTTCTCTGTGTTCGCACGCACAACATCCCTGTGAGATGGGCAAGCAGAGAGAAGCCCCTCCAAATGGAGCAATGGGTAGAGTTTTGGTGATGGTCTTCTGCATTCACCAGAAGGGTATTGTTCTAAACTCTGCCCTCACCCAGACTCTCAGAACATGATTTCTGGCCAGGTGACCTGGGACAAACCAACAGAAAGTAGGGCCAGCAGTGGAAATCTGCCACCCAAACTGTGATGTCGCATGTACTGGTGTCCAGGAAAGAGGCTCCAAGCTGTTCATTCGGCTCATGGCCTCTGTGTCTGTGTCATCCATGAAGCAGTATCCTAACTCTGAGAAACTCATTTCACCAATTATATTTTTGAGATAAGGCTGTGCTGTGTTTATTTCTCAAACATTTAAAAACCCTGCCTTCTAAGATTCAAGTGTGTGATCAGTATGATGCCTCCCTCCAGGAAAGCATGGTGTGGGTCCGTGAGGCCAGCAGAGATTGACGCTCTTACCTACAGCCCACCTCACTGTGTAAACAATGACAGCCTCCACAAGGCAGCCATTCTGTGGTCCCCTGTGGGGGGGGGACACCAGGGGAGTTAACAAGGCCTGTGCTGGTACAGAGCACCCTGCTGGTGACTCCAGCCAGGAGAGGCTAGTCCGGACAGCTTTCAGAGAGATACACAGCCTAAGCCCTGTCAGCTGGGATGATAAGACAGGAGAAGTGTTCTTGGCTTTTTGATTCCTGACTGAAAATGACAGTGACCTGGAGACAGTGACCTAAACAACTTCAGCACTTTCCTAGTGCATAAAAGTTCAAAGTCAAAGCCATCTAAAGCTAATCCAACAGCTCTTGGGTGTCCAGGGTGCTAGGTTCCTACAGCCCTCACTCTGAAACCTCCTAAAAGTTTCCTACCCTAAAGGCCACCCAAGGTAACCTTCCACGATGAGAGCCGAAGTGCCAACCATCACATCCACATCCTAAGCAGAACAGATAGAAGGGTATTCCTTCCAGGAGAGCCAGACCTTTAAAACAGTTACCCCAGAATCCCATGTAGCAATCACTGACTTATCTATTAGAACCATCCTGAGTGGACAGAAAATGGATTTTGATTGTCTAGAATCTACATGACCTAAATGAGTTTGTCTGCTGACCACACTAACCTAGTTTGGTTTGGACATGGATGTCTCTAGGACTTCCCTCAATGGTGTTACAGGTATAACACACCTTTGTTAGTATTCCCCAATCTCTGCTCTCTGTGAGACCTTCCTCCTCAACAGTGGTTAGTGTTTCAGGCATGTAACCCCCAGACCTGGTGGGAAGTTGCCCTTATACTTCCTTGCCTGGTAGGGAGAGATTCAAGTAAGATAACTGGCCAATAAAGCTTTCAGAAGTTTGACACTCCAGGGGACACAAGGACACTCTCGTGGGTCTTCCCATTGGGCATTACTGTCTGATGCCCACAGTGCAGACACACACCGCCATGAACTTGCTGCCTACCTGGAAGACTTTGTTGCAGATGGAGCAAGTTCCTCTGAGCAAGGAAGGAAGGAGACGGCCATCCCAAGGTCATTTCAAGTTCCCAAGCCCACAGGACAGCACGTCTGCCCACGGGGCCTGTTGTGAAGGTAGCTCCACCATCTCTTGCAGTGATTCCCTACTATGTGTCGGTGACCACTGGGAAGCATAAGGATGCAGCCACTGATAGCCGAGCGTTCATCTTGCTCATTGGGGAAGATGATGAACGCAGCAACCGCATCTGGCTGGATTATCCCCAGGGGAAGCGAGGCTTCAGCTGTGGCTCTGTGGAGGAGTTCTATGTCGGTGGCTTGGATGTGGGCATCATCAAGAAAATAGAGGTGCTGACCCTGGGTCCCAACGATGGTGACTGCCCCTGGGTAGTAAAAGAAACTGGTCAGCGTGTGGGGTTGGGGAGCTGAGGTGGACAGGACAGAACGACAGCCTAGAGCCCCTCTGAATTAGAGCCAGATCTCCAGCTTCCACCATCAGTTGGGGGGCTGGTGACCTCAAGTTTCCCATTTTCTGCCCCTCCAGTAAAGATATCCCATGTTCTGATTTTCTCATTGATATTATCAATTTGTTGGTAACTGAAAACACTCAGGTACATGCACTGTCCTGGGTCCGGAGTCTAGCTGGGACTTCTCGAGGCCTCCTGAGATGAAAGCAAAGTGTAACCAGGCCTATGATATTTTCTTGAGCTTCCTTCCTCTCTCCAAACCAACTAGCTATTGGCCAGATCCATTCTCTTGCTGTTGTAGGATAGATGCCTTCCATTCCTGTCAGCCCCTACCTTGAGGTGCTGACCCAAACCAGTCAGTGTTCTTGAGTTAGGCCAATAGGGGCCAAGCTCCCTTGCTCCAAACATCTCTGAATTCTTCTATTCATAGCATCCACATTCTATCTTAAAGACCTCACCTTATGAGGTCAGGCCCACCCAGGGTCATGTTTTGATTATTCCTCTCCTCCAAGAAAGGTTCTCTGGTCATGAGTGTCCAGCATATCAGGAGGAAACACTGAGGGTGAGCGCACAAGGCGGGCAGAAGACACTGAGCAGGGCAGACTTCTTTCTCAGCTCTTCCCAGATCCTCACAGGGATGGTGTACCTCACAGCTGGGCCATGACGGAGCCTCCCCTGAGAGCTGCTGGCTGGTAGAAGAGCTGTGCTTGGCGGTGCCCACCCAGGGTACCAAATACATATTACGCTGCAACTGTTGGCTTGCCAAGGACCGAGGCGATGGTGTCACCTCCCGTGTCTTTGACCTCCTGGATGCCATGGTGGTGAACATTGGGGTGAAGGTATGTATGTGTGTGCCTTGTGAGCGGGAGACATGGGAGAGATGAAAGTGGGGGATGTAGGGGAGTCGTCTCTGGGGTTCTGACAGAAGCTGTAGCCTGGAAAGATGGTTGGACTCACTTATCTCAAGCCAGGAGAATGTTCTCCTTTGCTCTGCTGCTATGTGACATCAGAGAAGTGTCCTGGTTTCTCTGGGCCTTGCTCTTCTCCTCTGCCACATGAAAAGAGCATTTCCTTTCTCTGCCCGTCCCATGCTCAGTCCTGGCCAAAACCAATGAGATCACTAACAGTCCCTGAGGAGCTTTGGATGGTACCAGCTTCACCCAGATGTGCCTTGTCATTGGTGACCGCAAGCATAGCAGCAAGGGCAGAGGACACCAGAGACTGGGGGCCTCCAGATCTCGCAATATAGCAATGCTGGTCACGTGAGACCCCTTGTAGTTGGAACAGCCAAGAAGACAGGAGTTTTATTTTCTGCCATGGGTCACATGGGTTGGGACAAGTTGCGAAACCTTGCAGGTGGTCAGGGTCTGGCAGGAGGGAGGCGGGAGGCAGATAGCCCAAAGACACACATCTAGTTGGTGATCCAGAGGCCTCCTGGTCATTTGACCCTGTGTTTCTCTTTCTCCCACATGAGCTGTGGCGCCACCAGTCACCCAGCTCTATTCAGTCAGGGTCACCTTTTAAGGTCGGGGTCAAGAGGCCTGCTTGTCCTGTGATGGGAACAGCAAGAGGGGCTGTACTGTGCACCCCAACATCCTCCACAGGAAATCCGCATCAGGGGAGCAGGGGAGGTGCACCTTCTACAGCGCAGACATCTCCCTCTGTGGCCAGATGGATGGTGTGGGTGAGCCTGCTGCTCATCCTGGGCTTCTGCCCTGACCCACTTCCCAGCCTCTGTGCGCCTCTGAGGCCCTCTCTGTCTCACACCACTCCCTGCCCTGTGTAGTCACAGCTCCTCCCAGTTCAGTCTGGGACATTGCAGATCTGCATCCCGCTATTCACAGAGCAAAGAAGGCGAGCTAGCCACTTACCCAAACGGCAGCAGGCTGGCCACTTATCCAAACGGTAGGGCCCTTTGGACCAGCCTCTCTCCAGGATACCAGCCAGAGTGATAGAAGCCCTGCTTCCATCTCTCCTTTGGAAATACTCCTATTACACAAAGAGCCACGTGTCTGTGCATAGAGGGAATGGGGAACACAGGGGCTGGCAGGGCGTGGCCTTGGAAACTGATCCCTTCTAAGCCATCAACACACTCACTTTGACCTTCCTATGTTTCTTGGCTGTATAGATACGATCAAGAAAAGATGAGGTTTCTGCCTGCTCCCAGTAATTTCACTAGTCCTGCCTGTCCATGCCCCACAATAGTATCCTGTGCACAACACAGCACAGTTCACAGTCCAAGTTTCCCTATCAGCACGGGGATTAGGCTTGAGTAAGGCAGAACATGGCAGGCTTGCCGTCTCTCCACCTCTTCCAGACTACTTTTTGGTCTGTGGGTGCCTGTTACGAAGGGATGAGTAAACCCAGAATGACAGCATCCAGCACACAGGTGATACCTCCACCCAAGGCTACCTCTCAAAAAGAGCCACCAAAATGCCTCAGTTCAGATACCCGGAGAGGGCAAGTACAGCCCTCCCTCAGGGGCCTGCTGATAAAGGGAACCTGACCTCTTAGGAGCAAAATCCCAGCTCTGAAAGCTCCCCCATGGTGTTCCTCAGATGCTCACAGACATCAGGGGCAAGCTGGCTGTGGCAGGAAGTTGGGGACACTGACAATCACTGCAGTACCCTCACATGTATGCCCTTACCATACACATAGTGCCAAGCCATACCCATGACACCACACCACACGGATGGTGCCATACTATAAACATGTTTGGCTGTACCATACACATGATACCACAGCACATACTTGCGTAGCCATTCCACACACAAGGTAGGCCCAGCACCAGCACCACAGGTATTCAAGCCACCTGTGTATCTCATTAGATGTCATGCGTCATCAGAAGGCATGTCCCCATATTTCTCCATAGAGGGAGCAAGCATAGGACCGGGACATTTGTATCAGGTAAAAAGCTAGTGGAGGGCAGACCTGGGTCTGGGTGGAGCTCTGAATGTTTCCAATACATGGACACACATGGATGGGCTCACAGAGGACTAGCGAGAGCCAATGCCGCAGTGCCTCTGTCAGAGCCCCCACAGCTGCGTGAGTGGGGTGGGGACCAGGAGGGGCCAGCCTGGCCTCTGCTTCCTCGGGCATGTACAGTCAACTGTGATAGATTCTGCTCAGAGCCTCAGGACTTGGAGAGCGTATGTCCTCTCCCTGGGGACACTGAATTGGGTTGGGTGGTTTCGTGGGTGGGACCGGGGGTCAGGAACTCGTTCCTCTCATGGTAGGTGCTTTATGAAATGACTGTCTGGACCGGTGATGTGGTGGGCGGAGGCACTGACTCCAATATCTTTATGACCCTCTATGGCATCAACGGGAGCACAGAAGAGGTGAAGCTGGACAAAAAGAAGGCCAGGTACTCAGAGGGGGCCTGAACCCTCACCCCGATTACATCCCACCTCCTCTTAACTCGGTCCTTGGCCAGACGGGCTCTGTCCCACCCACTGCACGCCATGACACCTCCTGGCTGCCTTACCTCCGTTCTCAGTTGCTCTTTTCCAACACTGTTCTTTTTCAAGGGCCAGATTATATATCCCTCCTCTAGGAAGTCTTCCTTGACTGCCAAAGTCATAGCAATTTCCCTCCTTAAAAGAAAGCATTTGATTTTATGTGTATGAATGTTTAACCTGCACATTATGTTTGTGTACCACTTGGGTGCCTAGTTCCCCTGGAGGCCAGAAGAGGGTGCTGGATACTCTGGGACTGGAGTTACAGATATCTGTGAAATGCCATGTGGATGCTGAGGACAGAACCCTGGTCTTCTAGAAGAGCAGTCAGCATTCTTAGCTTCTAAACCATCTCTCCAGCCCAGTTCTTTCTTTTGTTCCCCTGTCTGGGTCTATCAAAACTGTTCTTCTTAAGGCCTGTGTGGTTGACATTGCTGCATCTTGCCCATTTCCTGGTTTTGTTCCATGCACCGTGTGGGTGTGAGATGCCCTCAGTGGCCCCGTGGGAAGAGCAGCAAAGACTAAAGACAGTACATCTCCAAGATGATGCAGTGTTGAACAGAATGGTAGCCACAAGAGCAATGCTGACTTCAGTTTGCTGGCACCTCACACCGTCAGGAATATGGGCCAATCCAGAGCCACCATGCTCAGCTGTACAGCTGCACACAGAAAAATGAGGCTAACCCACCTTCTAGTGCTGGGCAGTGTACAAGCTGATGCAACCCTCAGGTGGCCTTGCCATTCATAGGCTGTCATCTGAAACTTTTCCAGTATGTGAACTTCATTCTGCTCTGAAAGCTGACTGCACATTCATTTGCTCTCTGGGATCTTTGTGAAGTCTCAGGGTGAATATCATCCTCCCCAGATTACAAATGAGGTGTTCCCAGTCCCAGAAAGGAAGGTAAGAAACTAGCTGCTGAGAAGAACTCAAATCTGGTCGCTCTTGGTTCAGGGCTATGTCTCCCAGTCAAGCCTGCTTACCCAGTCTTCTAGGATCCCACCTGGGGTGCAAAAGATGGGCAGTTGGGGGACTGCTGAGAGCAGTGAGGTGTCTGATCTATGGCCAGAGCCAGCTTACTGACTTCCCACCTTCTGCTCCCCATCCCCAGGTTTGAGCGGGAACAAAATGACACCTTCATCATGGAGATTCTGGACATTGCTCCCTTTACCAAGATGCGCATCCGCATCGATGGGATGGGGAGCCGGCCAGAGTGGTTCCTGGAGAGGGTAATGCGGTGCCCTCACTCATCCCTGCCCACCTCTCCTCTGTGCTATTGGGTTATAAGTAGCCTTGTAATGCAAGCATCCTGACCTTGGGCTTTGGTGTGAATCAGTTGGGGAATGGAGCTTTGTTTGTGTCTAGTAAGAGCTGAATTACTGCCAGAGAACACAGCACAGTGGGCAGAGCCTGGGATGGGAAGATTCAGGGTAGGAGTTATCTGGGAGAAGGGTTGTGGAGGGATTCTGAGAGAAGCAGACTCGAGACAGTGAGACTGGTGGGTGGTGGGCTTCTAGTCCCTGTCATTACACTGGTTGGTAGCTTCTTTCTTCCTCCCTGCCTTCTCTCTCTGGAGGAGCCTGAGCTCCCCAGGCAGCCAAGCTGTGCCCACCCCTGGGTTCCCGGGCAGGCTGAGGGCATTCTGGGCAGGGGCCATGAGAAACTTAGAAAAAGCAGACTATGAAGTTTTATTTGCCTCCATCTCTCCCACCCACCCCCTACCCCATCACACACCATACCACACACCACACACAGCCACAGGCTTCCCTTTCCCGAGAAAAGAAAGTGTCTGTGTTTGCCCATCACCATTTGCTAACCTCCCCTGGCCTTGCAGGACAATGACACTGGGGACCAGAGGACAGCCATGACACTCACTGTTATGGAGCAGAGGGCTCCCAGTGCACAGCTCAGCTTGCTATGTTTTCATGAGGACAAATGACATAGATCCACAGTCGCACAGGCGTGTTCCTGTGTCAAACGGGCTGGTTCTGGGGTCAGGTGACACCACCTTGCACAGTGTGAAAATTTTCTGTAGCTGTATAAGAAGGCTCCAGAATTGGGAGGCAGAAGAGCAGGAGTCAAGGTATGGGCAGGCCATGTGCTCTCCGAAGGCTCTGCCTAGGATCTGACCTTGGCTGTCCTCAGACACTACCAGCTGGCATGCAGCCCTCTTGCCATGCACACGTCTCCATGTGTAGCTTTCCCCATCCTATGTTGTCTAGGGCCCACCTTGTGACCTCATCTTATCTGATTACAGCCCTAGCTTAAATAAGGTCGCACTCCAAGATTCTGATGATTGGGACTTCACTATACACATTCGGGATCGGAGGAACATGGTTTAATTTATAATGCAGATCCTTCTGCAAGCTTGTCCCTCATCCACCAAAGGCCATCTGTCCTGGTTCTCCCCAAGCTCCCCTTACCCTGTGTAGCCATTGCAGACTTTCCTTGAGCCAGCAATGTTGCCTCCACACCAGTGCGGCAAATGTCAGTGTCCTGCTCCCAGGCGGACCATGGCTTGATTCATTTCCTTTTCTCTCACTTATTCCATCAGTGTTTTCTGTGCACATTCAAGGCATTGCTGTGGAAGCCTTTTTCAGATACATTTCCAATTTCCAGGTCACATGGGACTTTCAGCAAAACCCATAAGCAGAGCCCTTCCCACACCCAAAAATCTGAATCAGGGAGCTTGGCATGGGGGTTCATGGAATGGTGCTCAGGTAAAAGAGGGTATTTTTTATTGAGCTCTACATTTTTTAAAAAGTGTATTTCCATATGGCCCTTCTCCAGATCCTGCTGAAGAACATGAACACGGGAGACCTGACCATGTTCTACTATGGAGACTGGCTGTCCCTAAGGAAGGGCAAGAAGACACTGGTTTGTGAAATGTGCGCGGTCATTGACGGGGAGGAGATGATGGAGTGGACCTCTTACACCGTCTCTGTGAAGACCAGTGACATCTTGGGTAGGTTGTGACCTCCCGCTTCCTCTTCTCTTGTCTTCCACTCTTGAACCATGACTTGAGATTGGCTTCTGACCAGGGTGTTTTACTTCACATAACCTTCTGAAGACAGATCATCTCCACAGCATGTCCCTTTCTGTGGAGACAGAGTATTAGCTCCCAGTAGTAACCAAATTGGTTTCTTCCCTGTCCCCTCACAGAAATGGAGAGGAGAATTTCAGGGACACAGCCTTTGCTTGGCTCAGAACCCTGCAGCTTCCTACTGCCGCTGAATCCTCTCACCCAGGGCTGTGCACCGTGGCGATCTGTGTTTCACAGTCCTGACTCTGGCCTGGAGACTGGGGACAGAACTGTGACACCCAGGGCCCCCACAAATCTGGCATTCTGGTAGAGCTAACATACCATTAGGTGAGGCCAAGACAGATGTCAGCCCGCATACATCTGGGCAAGAGTCACAGAAACATCCCAGAAAGTTGTCAAACTCAAGTCCAGAAAGACAAACGGAGCCGTTTTGTGAATAAAATGTCCAGAGAAAGGGCTTCTAAGCAAAAAGAGGGCATATCTCTCATCTGGTCAGGAGGCAGTGCCTGCTACCTCCCCTCCTCCAGTCAAGGCCTCTCTCCAGGGACCATTACGAGGAATTTGGCAGATTCCTTCATATTCACCATGGATGACTTATTGATCATGGTGGCTTGCACTTTTAGTAGAGCAGTTTGCCAAAGAGACTGGGCTGTCACAGTGGAAATCTCAGGCACAAGAGGTAGGTCAGTAAATCTGGCCGTTAGTTCCCAGCATTCTCCTTCTCTCTTTTCTTCTCACAGTGGACCCTCCTCTTCATTGCTTGATGTTCCCAATGTCCACAGGCTTTAAAGGCCCTCTTTTTAGTCCTTCATGGTATGCTCTCAGAAAATAATGAAGAAGTGTGACAGAGTGGCCTCACGAACACCTCTTCTAGGAGCTCTGGCTTCTTAACAGGGGCCAGTGCCTTTCTGAAACACTTCCTTCCCTGGGAATAGGAGCATTTTTGTGCTAAGCATTAACGTTACTCTGACTGCTGTTACACTAACAGTAATTGTGACATGCCAAGAGAAGGTAAGGGATAGAATTGGACACCTTGTAGTACCAGCGCTTGCTTACTGGCCCTAATGAGAAATGACTCTTAACCAGACTAGGATGAAGGGATCTCAGCAAGACTGGGGCTAAGATGAGCATTTACTCTTATCAGAAACAGAATACAATGGCAGTTGCCAGGATCAATACAATGATAGTTGCCAGGATACAATGATGTTTGTAAGCTATATATAAGATGCATATAATTAGTGTCAAGACCAATTGTCCTGTCAAGCTTCTGCATGCTTCATTGACTTTTAGGGAACACAAAGAATCATGAAATAGCCTGGATGCTTCAGTGTCTGAGGGTCTGCCTCAGTTTCTTAGGAACTGAAAGGCACACTGTGCCCTAGGAGCTATGGACTCTAATCTGAGAAACCTATGATGTGTGCCTCTCAAGGCAGCTAGACCAGGTCAACTCCACGGTTCCCAGAAACACGTAAGAGGTCAAGACCTCTCCGGGACTTTCTGATTCTTGCCCTCAGTTTCATTGAACTTAGACTCTGTCCTCCTGTGCTCCAGGAGTCTGGGAATAAGGCCAGAGCAGAGGGCTTTGTGAAGAGATGCCAGCTCCTAGAGCCACACCTATGTATTTCCCAGGGGCAGGCACCGACGCCAATGTGTTCATCATCATCTTCGGGGAAAATGGGGACAGCGGGACCCTGGCTCTGAAGCAGTCAGCAAACTGGAACAAGTTTGAACGGAACAACACGGACACGTTCACCTTCACTGACATGCTGAGCCTGGGCCACCTCTGCAAACTGAGGGTCTGGCATGACAACAAAGGTAGCCACTGCCTGATGCCAGGGTGCTAAGGGGGTAGGCCTTCCTGGGGCAGTGCTCCCTGGGTCCTCTGCCTCTCCAGGTGAGCAGACTCTGCCCACCCCAGCAGGACGGCCATGGCTCGCACCATTTGGGTGTACCGTCCATTAGAGGGCCTGTGTTCATAAGCAGTTGTAATACCTGAAGCTTAGTTCCTTCTGCTTTCTCCCTGGGAGGTTAGTGATTCTTCATTTTTGCAATATCAGACAAATTCAGCTTAATTTGGGCATAAAAATTAAGAAAAAAAGAATTGGGTTGGGTCAGTAGGTCAAGTGTAGCATAATTGTTTAGCTTGTGCAGGGTCCTGTGTTCTATCCCTGGAATGGAGAGAGAGGAGAAAATAGAGAGAAAGGAGGGAGAGAGGGAAGAAGGAAAGAAGAAAAGAAGGAAGGAAGGGAGGGAGGGAGGGAGGGAGGGAGGGAAGGAGGGAGGGAGGGAGGGAGGGAAGGAGGGAGGGAGGGAAGGAGGGAGGGAGGGAGGGAGGGAGGAAGGAAAAAAGGAAGGAAGGAGTCTCACCAAGTCTACTTTCCATGGATTTTCTATCAGTCTTACAACCCTGTATTTGAATTCACTTATAAATTTAAGCATGATAAAAGCAAGGTGCTTAAGAATAAATACTTTGTCCGTCACTGTGATGGATTCCGTGGCTTCCTCATTCCTTTGCCCACCGCTTTGCTCTCTGCAGACATCTCTTTACACTGGCTTTGCACCGGCAGCTTCTGTAGGATATCAGAGTTGAAGCTTCATTGCCTGGCTTACTACCTCCACGCTTGCCACTCCCCCCAACTCATCTCTAGTGTCCTGACTCGAAACTAGCTTCCCCCAAGCTGTCTGCCCAAGGTCCTCTCCCAACTTTGCTGTACCCTCACCTCCCACAGAGCTGTCCTGCAGCTGTCCACCTCACTTTATTTACCTCCTCAAATCCCACTGCAAGTGATTACTGACAAATCCAGCTCAGGAGTTGGCTGAGCTTCCAGAAGGAGCAATGTCCCTGATTCCTTTCACCATGAGGTCACAGTCAAAACATTCCCCTATGTGACAATAAACTCGGATCAGGCAGAGAAGCTGCTCTTCAAAGCAGTCACATAATGATGCAGACTTGCCCAGATGCCACAGGTTGGGTTTCCTGCACCTATTTGATCATTTGTGACCTGAACATCTCTGTGTTTCTGGTGGGCCCGGAACCCTGTGAGGTAGGGAGAACTGCAAACCTTTGACCGTTTGGTGTCCTTTGTGACATTATGTAACAAAAGCTTGTTACTAACTCTCTACTCCTCTCTACTCTGTAACCAAAGAGTACCCAGGCCTTTGGGATGCCCACTTCAGGGCCACAGAGCAGCAAATGGACCAGCCAGCAGTTAGCAGCAGGCATTCTGGTGTTGTGCTGACCAACCATGTCCATTCTGCTGATCATGATTCTGAACCTTCAATGCCCCCATGCCAGAGACCCAGGAAGGAAGATAGCAGTGTGAGGGTTAGCATCCTCTATCTGTTTATCATCAGGGACTACAGGTAGGAGTCTCATCCCGACAAGGTGCAGTGCTGAGAAGCTCTCCTTCCTCACTTGTTACTGAGACAAAGTATCTGACTACAGCAAGTAGGGAGGACAGATCTATTCTGAGCAATGTCAGAGCTTTCTGTCCATGGTCAGCCAGCTCCCTGGCTTCTGACAAGGAACATAATCAGGGAGGAGGGGCGTGGTCAAGGAAAGTCGCTCATCTCACAGCAGCCAAGAGAGGCAGAGAGGAATGTAGGAAGGGGCCTAAGTTCTTGCCTTTCAATAGCTTCTCCCAAATAACCCACCCTCCTCCACCAGGAAACGCCTGGCACAGTCCCACCGCCTCTCACACACCTGCTCACATTTTAAATTCATTCATTTCCTGGTATAGTCAGTTTTAAGTCACGGTTAGTCATCTCAGGTGGCATCGCAAGGCTTTGGAGAGACGCATCTCCATGGGACCTTCTCACATGTCTGTAGCCTCTCCTTTCCACAAAAGAGCCATCACAGAGATCTGAGTTCTCTCCCCCACTGCCGTCTGCCAGGATCCTCCTATCAGTTGCTGGCTGGTGTCCAGAGTCTGAATAGATGAATGATACCATCCATGGTCTCGAAGACTTGTCTTCTGCCCCAGATCCATCAAAAGATCAGGCCCAGCCCCTTTCAGGACATGCCACAGTGGCTTGCTCAGTCAAGACAGGTGTACAAACCCCAAACCACATGTGTGTGTGTGTGCACAGGCCTCATTAGAAGGATCTAACAGACTCGACTGGAGGAGCCAGCATGGAAGGAGAGGGTGAATGTGGTGAGAACCACATCAACATTAGCTCCCCGCTAAAGGAACAACCGGAAGTCTCAGAACCCCAAGTCCTCCGACCCTCTTCTGCCATAGCCTCCTCTGCAGAAGCCACAGCACTAAAGTCTAGTGCCTGAGGAGGAAGGTTTGGGGTCCCCAAGCAGCCCAACCTACCAGCCACACTGTGAGGTGGAGTTCCTTAATAACCTCCAGTCAGGCCAGAAAAGAGGGTGGGGAAGAAATTGTGCCAACTAAGCTCATTTCCCTTTCTCTAAAAGGGAAGACCACACCAGGACCATTACAGTGTGAGTGCTGCATTTATGGGATGAGGGTAGAGGGTTGACCGGAAAGACTGGGGTTGTTTAGGAAGGACCACACTTTTGGAGAAACCAGCTCCCTCTTAGCCTTATTTATCTATCTATAAGTGTATAAATCTAACCCTATCTACCTATTTATTTCTCATCTATTTTCTCCTGGGGCTTCCATCTTCCTTCACTGTGTATTTCTCACAAAGAACCTTCTAGAGTCCTCTTGGATGTTTCTGACTTCATGTTGTACCCTTCCTTCTAACCCGAGAAAGTAGAGGCTCACATCTCTCATAATAATTCTAGGTCTTACTGGAGCATTTCAAGAGGCAAAGATAATGTTTCTCTCTAGTGTTGTCCAAGTTTACATGTTTCTTGTGGGGGGGGGGCTTCTTACTTGGCATGATCAGTTCTTAAAGAAATGACCAGCCCAGGCCCTCTACCACTGCAGCTTTAACAACCCCCATAATTGGAATGTCGATATCAGTTACTATATTGGTGACAGTCAGTTTGCCCATGTAGCTAAGTAGTTTTATCAGTTCCAGCTCATGATTGATTGACCTCATTGCTTTGCATGTGGGACAAGACAGGATCTCATGGAGGGAGTTGTGGCAGAGCAAAGCCACCCATATCAGAACCCAGGAAAGAAATAAGGAGGAGGATGCTATCCTTCTTTAAGGGTACAGCCTCACATATCTGAGGGACTTCACCAGGTCCTACCTCTTAAAGGCTCCATAGCCTCCCAATCGTGCTGCCTGGGACCAAGCCATGGCTCTCTTAGGGACCAGTTCAGATCTAAACTATAGCAGACAGGACTGGAGTCATGAATAAGGCTGAATGAGGGAAATGCGGCTCGAGCAAATCCAGGGTGGCCAAGCAAAGGTTTAGAGAAATTCAGCTTTTGAGATGGATAACTAAAGGGAAGGAAGAGGAGGGGGTAGAGAAATTACTTCTACATGTTTTGCTTCTAAGATAGAATGTGTTTGGGAAGAAGGGATTCATCTGGGGAACTCCACAGGCCAATGCTCCTGAGACCCCAAGCTGTGAGGTACTGGTTCTGACTCCATAGACTCTTAGACATAAACTTAACAGAGGAAATATGAAGTAGCATTTGCTTTCAAATAGTGAAGCAATTTAAAATGGTTTAAATGTTTTTCTTGGACTGGAGAGATGGTTCTATGGTTAAGAGCACTTGCTGTTCTACGAAGGACTCAGGTTCAGTTCTCAGCACCTACATGGCCTCTCACAACTATCTATGACGCTAGTTCCAGAGGACCTGATACCCTCTTCTGACCTCCATTGGCATGAAGCATGCATGTGGTACACCTACATACACAGATACAGGCATAACACTCATACATACAAACTAAAAATAAATAAATCTTAAAATAAAACGTCTGTTTCTCCCTACAAATTCCAAGTCTTTCTGGATGAGAAGTTTTGTTACACAGCAAAATATTTCAGGCTTGCAATGGAGAGATTGGAGGAGGAACAGGCTTCTGTCGTTTATGAGTTCAGGTTCATCAGACAAAACTGCTCTTCCTTGTCTCCTGAGACCCTCTCACCTCCATACAAAAAGCCAGGGAAACCCTCTCAGAAAGCCACACTCTTTGTTTTTGATCCTTGTTGTCATGTGGAATTACCTTTTTATTTCTGACAATTCCACTCCGTTCAGAAAATATTGTGGTACTAAGAACATTGTTTCCATTCTGAAGGCTTTCTCTTTTCCTTACACTCTTCTCTTTAATGGCTCCTTGTGTTTGTAGATCAACCATTGTTTAAATGCCACCTTGCATGAAGTCATGCATTTGGCCCAAACCAAGTTTTTCATATGTTGATATCTAAGAAATAGTTTAATACCCACAGTTCCCTTTTTCTGCTACATTCTTCTGCATCCCTCAGAATCCAGGTTAGTTATCAAGTTCTTTGAGAATTTTCCCAACTATGCTGCATGAAGTTAGATGCCATCCACTCTCCACTCCTGTGCTTTCTATAGGTACCTCTATCTGTAGTATGCTGACTGTGATGGTCCTGCCAATTACAATTGACAGAGTTCCAATCTCTAAAGGCTGGGGACCTTGTTTGGTATTCCCAGTGCCAAGTTTGTACTTAGTAGGTCGCTAATAATTATGTGAGAGAATAAACAGGTCAACCTTCTATGTCAGCTTCTGGACCTGGGATAAATGGCTCCAGACTCTTTTCTAGACTCCATGGAGATCTCTTCCTCTTTTCTAGGTATTTGAACAGTTTCTAGATGTAGCAAATCATGTCTGATATTTAGTAAAGTGTTTTTACAAAGGGTAAGAGGGTAGGTGTTGTGGACCCAATAGTGTTGTCTTCTGCTTCTCAAATTCTTTCTCATCCA